CCACCACTACCACCCATCACATTTTCTCTACCATAAATATCCTTCATACCCTTATTCATTTTTTATTTCTTTTTGTATTTCTCCTCCCATTTTTGCCTTCCCCCCCTCACCCCGCCGCCCTCCGCGCCCCCCCCCCCCCCCCCATTTTTATGAAGGTACGGGAGGTTATTCATAAAAATCCCTAGCCATAACTATGCATATTTGATATCCAATATAATTTCTTGTGTACATTACCTCAATCTGTATCGGATACTCAGAGACAAACTGATTTACTGATTACGTCACGTGAATCCTGAACATGTTTCACTTGCTTTGTTTCTCTTTAAGAATTCATACTTACCATAACCAATTTCAGTTGCTAAGCGAATCTATTTTTACAATAGTTATTATGTGAAATATACTGTTAGAAAATGGTGAAAACCGCTTTTAAGGTTATCTGAAATTTCTATGGGATCATACATCAAGATTTTTATAGTGCATAAACGCTCTATTTTTACGAGTTAGCATCCCTATTCGTCCATGTATTTATATAGCCATGGCTGAAATTTAATTTTTTTGTTGTATCACACATATTACTCGCTTATGTTAGTCGTTGTGTGTTGAGGTATGTGAGTATTGGGACAATAATAGTTATGTATTACCTGACACTGTTTAAGGACAAATTCAAGTCTTTCATGCGTATCTGTTATGCAGTTATTTTATATAATTTGATATCTCTAGCCATATCGAGAAGAGGATAATAATATAAAAATTAGGATGACATAAATCATATTTCTACAGATCGTCATAAATATTGAACTGTTTTATTGTGTTGAATCATCAATCTCTTTTTGTACAATTGCTATATGTAATGCGATAGCGATTTCACTCAGCGCGTTTGATAATAAACTCTTGCTCGCCTAAAGCGAAATCTGTTTGCGGTTTTCTATGAATTAATTTTATGTATTCTTGGTCTGCAACTTGACTGACTGATATTTCATGGATCATGATACTCAAAAGAACTTTATGTTTACGTGTGAAAATTTTGTTTATTTTTTCAGAAAATATATTCTTCACTTTGAGAAACAAAAGAAAAATCAATTAGTTTTAGAATGATAAAGATTAATGAAATTAGAAAAGAATGATGTTCTCTATATATTTCTGGGAAATAGTTGTTAGTTTTCGTATCTTATCTTGACGGTTGATCATTTGTACAAAAAGAGATTGATGATTCAACACAATGAAACTGTTCAATATTTATGGCGATCTGTAGAAATACGATTTGTATCATCCTAATTTTTATATTATTATCCTTTTCTCGATATGGCTAGAGATATCCGATTATATAAAATACTTGATATTGATTTGAATGAAGCTTTATTCTTCTCGAATATTAGCTAAAATAAATCCATCATAGTTTTAATGAATAAATGAATGAATGAATGAATGATTTATTCACGAAAAGTCAGAGTCATCGGAGGTCCTTGACCTGTAAAACAATGATTCGAGCCAAAAAACGAATCTATAAATAGAAAAATAAAAAGTAAACTAGTGTAGGAAAACAGAGAGATAGTAAAGAAAGAATAAAAAAACAAAATCAGATAAAGAGTAATCGCACTAGGTTTATTTTTAACTGTAAATATGGCTATGTTCTATTGAAAAGACGCTGAGATAAAGCTATATTAAATGACAATAACGAAGAAGAACAAACGACTAATTCTAGAAGATTATTCCAGTCAGTGACAGTTAAATGAAAGAAGGAAGACGAAACTGTTTATGGAGTAAAACCGTTTACAGGAGGTGGAATACGCATACATTTAGAATGATGACACTATAAGGAAGAATAGTAAGAACAAAGAACATTATAAAAAGAAGAAAGAGGACTAAGACGATGATAAATCTTGAGCTTAAGCTATCAAAAACAAAAATTAACTTTTAATTAGAGACTCGAACCCGTAAACTTAGATTTTCAGTAAACTGTTTGATCTTCCCTAAAAGAAATATTTCACTGCCACTCTGGAAGAAAAAGATTGTCATTGTCAATGCATCCGGTGAGCCATGTTGTAGTGTCAAAAGAACAGCGTGTTTCGCGGGCTTGGCCAGTGTCGATATATATTTTCCGAAAAAGTGTTAATTCAAATATTTTTTAAGGCTAGCTCAAATGTGGTAACTGAAAAAATTCCAGAACTATATATGAAAGAGTGATACATTGCAAGTTTATATTAAGCTGTTTTATTTTTACAAATAGCGTTAGAGTGCGTCTTGTTTTTCTAAATCGGTAACAATATTTAAAAAATGAAGATATGCCATATAGAAAAAACATTTACAAAGAAATTTAATCATCGATTTTGATGCCGAATATCCAAGCGAATTTTGATCATGAATTCAGTTGCAAATAATCTTAGAATTAACAGCAATGTTAATAGTATTTTTCTTTGGGAGACATATCTAGACAAGAAAGTTATTTTTGAAACGGTTTCTAACAAAAAACGGAAGAAAGTTATATTTTTTGCTTACGGAAGATAAGAAAAAGTTCCTAATGCTGATTTTGATCTATTCTAGCTATGGAAATCACTACTTTGGGTGAAACAGTACGTTAAACTGGTATTTTTCAGGCCTCGACGACCCTATATCATTCCGATCACATACAATGTCAAACTCAGGTGCCATATATTTACCTTGACATATATGATAACGATTTGAATCACTGAATGATTTTTTGTTTTCTTCTAAGAGGAATAGTTCATCTACATATGCAGTGTAAGATATATAGTCTTCTATTTGAGAATCTTGTATTCAGATTTCTAAGCTTTTTTATTTATTTATACTGCTTTATTTTGTAACTATAACAGTTTCCAAAGAAGATTTATCAACTAAATTCATATGATCATGTTCTAGTTGACTCTAAGAATTTACGTTGAGTTTAGAGAAACAGTGTCAACTTCGATTTAGAAAACAGACAGTGGCTAAACTTTGACTATCTAATTTTATACTGTCAGTAAGTTAGACATGATGTAATTTTATATAACTTTACCTCTTTTTGTATTACATAGCTTAATTTAGACGTCTTAGTTACAACAGTTGGTATGCTTTTCAAGTGTAGTCCATTAAACTTTGGTTGAATTAAATTTTTATTTTATCTACTACAAAATTTTAATTATAGTATTGTTGTGAGTGCTAGCATTATTCGAAAAAGAAATTTTTCGGCGTTCTCTCTTCAAACTGTAACTAAATTTATACTACATCTAAAGTATCAGTAACCAAAATTTTCATGTTTTAATTAATATTTTAACTGTATCAACTGATTCTCAACTATACTAACCATATAATTGTTTTTGGCATGTTTTAGATATTAGAAAATATAAATTATATAGAATGTCCGCTCATGAAGGTGTTTCGTGTGATGTTTGCTCTCAAAACAATTTTCGTTCCAAACGTTACAAATGTTTAAGATGTTATGATTATGATTTATGTTCAAATTGTTATGAACAAGGAGAAATATCATCGAATCACACTGCTGATCATCCAATGCAATGTATGTGAATCTTGGTTATTTTCTTTTGTTAAATTTTTATTTTCAACTCATAGAGCATTGGGATGGATGACTGTTTTTGAATATTATTCTTTTTTTCCCTCTATTTAGGTATATTAACTCGTCAAGATTTTGATTTATATTATCATGGTGAACGTTGTACATTTGAACAACCGCAATCGTTATCATGTCCATTTTGTTCAGAAATGGGATTTTCTTATAATTCAAATCTATCTTCGAACGATACTTCTTCATCGTCAAATGACCTTCTGACTCATTTACAATCGAAACATGGTGGCGATCAACAAGGTGAAGTGATTTGTCCAATCTGTTGTGCATCACTCAATGGAGAACCAAATTTACTCACACCCGATCTTATTTCACACATAGCCAATGATCATCCTTATCGAGGAGCAACAGACTCTTATTCAAGACAATCATCTACAAGAGAATTTGATTCTGCATTTCCGCCATTAAGAAATTCAACGGCTAGTACCACTAGTGTAGGTTAGTTGAAATGATAAAGTCAATACTTCCAGACAGAAGTAGTTTCATTTTTTCAACTTTTTTTATTAGCTTTTCGTCGCGGTCCGTTACGAACCCCGAGTAGGCGTAGTGGAGGTGGTCGCGGTGGTCCTGTTTCCAGTAATTTTACTGCTGAAGTTAGCGGAAATGATCCGATCACTGATTTACTAACTCAATTATCCAATGTTCGCCGATTAGCAGCACAAAATAACTCAAACAACAGCGCTAGTCTACCACCATCGGCGAATGCTCTGAATCTAAGTCAACTATCACGGCAACAATATGATCGAGAACGATTGCGTTCAACACTACGCTCTCATCATCATTCTCATTTACACGGAACTGGAACAACTTCAGCAAATAATAATAACAATAGTGCACATGCAACTCAGGAATCAGATTTTTTAGACAGTTTGTTTTCGAGTGCACTGTTTATTGATCCAAACATGTTACCACCATCAACTGTAAGAGCACCTAGATTTCAGTTTCGAGGCGTACAAAGAGCAGAAAATCAACAATTAGGTAAATAAACAAATTATGGTATTATGATAGATTATTTAGAACATCTTTTCGTATTTTAGACTGGTCAACTATTGTTAATAATAGTGATCCATCTGAACAAACACCACAAACAAATCCTGTTCCTTCACAGCCTCAAATTGTAACCACCACAACAGCCGATGATTCTCTAAACTTATTACCAAGTCAATCATTATTAAAAAGATTATGTGATGCTTCAGATTCTGACCGATACTCATCAAATCATCATCAGACAAAATCAAGAGCACTAAAGTGCGATTTTGTACAAAAACTATTAATATCAACTTTATGCAGTAATCCAGGAACATCCTCATTAATTAAGGAAAATCCGTTAGCCAAACAACATTTGACTACTACGTCGTCAGAAAAACATACGAATAATAATAATAATAATAATAGTGTTCAAAATCAACCATTATTTTTCTCTTACTACGATCACAGTGTCCAATGAGTCGTCAAAAACCAGACATGAGTAAGAGATTGAAGTGGATCTATTGAGACTTAGCCTAATGTCTTTTTGCAATAGAAAAGAATCTCTACTTTCCATATCACGTAACAAACTACAACAATGACTACATAGTTCTGAAACTTAATGAGGTTTTTGAGAAAAAACTATACTGTAATACCATTATTTTACTGATAGAACAGGAATGCAACAAATACAATTCTCAGAGTCAAAAAACGTGTCTTAGTGGAAAAAACAAATTATTTCCATGTTAAATATAACAGTCGAATTAAACGTTCAGTGTGCGTATGAGAGATGTTCACAGTCGAAGGACTAAATATGTGACAATTCCAGTTTTCAACTGGTTACAATCAATGGTAAACAATTGCCATTTAGTAGAACTAAGACAACAACAACAGCAACTTTTCTTTCATGAGAAAGTATATTTTCACAGAACTAATTTTCAAGCCTTGATGTGATACATCGATTAAGCTGTTCAAAATACGTCACCTGTTGAACACATTCAAAGCTGACTAGTTATTTTTTATGTTTAGACTTGTTTCTTTTTTAAAGATTTTTCTTTGTATTATTTCGGTGATTTCCATGGTTTTGTTTAATTTATAACAAGAAACTGTTTCTTCTCGTTTTCTACCTGATCATTTTTTCTCAAAAGAGTAATTTTTCTTTTCTTGCTATAATGGATCTATTCAATATTTATTTGTTTTTTTAACAACATTTTTTTATTTATTATTTTTGTAATGTATTTTAAGTTTTTGGTCTTGTAAAATAAAAATTCAAAAATCAGAATATTTGTTTGCTTAAACTAGTTTAATTTAGTAAGCAAATAATTGCAGTTCATGACGTTTGAGTGTATTATGAAGATCTTTATCCACTTTTCACACTACATGAAACATTTAAGAAATTTCTTTGCTTACAGATTTTTTCTTTCTGTCTACGTTTTACCCAAGTCAAAAATCTCTTGAGAAATTACGTTCTACATTGGGATTTCATTAGAAGAATCAATGAAATTCCATCGAGGAGAGACATTCATTTCTTTATTTTATCGAGTCACATAGTACATAAAAATCACCAATTTTGTAAAGAAATCGTCCGCTTTAAAGTTTTGTCATATGATCTATTAATTATTTTAACTCTCGACTAGGATAATATGTTTCTTTGATACCATTTTCATTCCGATAATTTTGAGTTTTAATGTCGCTTGTCATCCGAGATTTTGCTAAATTCTGACGGAGAATTTCAAAATATGTTAAAGAGATTTGTCACGAACGTTCGGATTCTGCTGCTTTATGCGAGATTAGCACGATCCCACTAGAATTGATAAAAAGTATTTAATATGCAGGATATACCGTAAAACGAATGTTGTTCACTGCCAAAAGTTGTTGTTGCCAAGCTCTACCTATTGACTATATCATATTTTAATGCGAAACTGTTAGCGAGTGTTAACATATTTTACAAATACTCACAAATAATTTACCTTTGAACTCTTTTTATTTTATAAAATTTTAACTCTTTCCTTTCATCAGTCAAACATATTTCATACAGAATTACTAAATTTATATCGTATTTGTAAAAATAGAATTTTAAATAGAAACAATAGACCGTCTCAAATTTTTCTCTAGCATATTTCCTTCCTCCACATGTGGTTTGTTTTCAATGCTTCTTCTTGTTTTACAAAATACAAGAATAAATGATAAATATTCGGCACACATGTGAAAATTTGTCGAAAAGTAGCGCTTTTAGATAAATTTAAATAATATGATGAGATTTAGTGTAGTATCAGAAAATTATATGACGAAATGTTGTATCAAAGATTTTCAAGAACTCAATTAAATCTTTATAAATTTGATTAGTTAATTACGTTATCCAATTGTTTTTTTCTCATTTTAGATGTAATTCCATCCTCAAATAGTCATAAAAAAATAAAAAAAGTATTTAATTTTATATCATTTTGCATTTTCCCTTATTTAGTTTTTATTAAATTTTTGTTGTTTTATGTAATCTCTTATCTTATGTATATAAATAAACAATGTCATCACAATTTTATCGACGATTTTTTCTCAGTATTATTCCACAGACGTTGCTGCTATACACATCACTGATAACATCAACAAATATTAAAAATAAAAATGATGATCTATTTACTATTAATATTACAATGCCAAATTTCAATACGACACAGGTAAGAAACAACTGAAAATAAAATAATTTTTAAATTTTTAAAAATTGATAATAAAATCTTGTGTTGTCCATGTCTATATGTATCATTATTTTCATCATTTAAATAATTATTTTAAATCAAAATAGTCAAAAATTTAACACACTTCAAGTTATTTATAGTGAATGAATAAATTTAATATTAAATTTATGATAATCGATTTTCTGTTTTAGGAAGATCAGTATGTCTTTTTACAATATCAATTACCGGATGAAGAATTGACTATAGGTAAAATAGTGTTATTATAGCAGATTTTGATTTACTAATTATTTATTCTATCTTTTTTGAATAATTTAAGTTGGTTATACTCCATTGATTGATATGAATGCTGCCCATCATATGTTGACACATGCATGTACAAATTCAGGATCAAACAAACAAACATGGTAGAAATTTTTATTAGCTAAGAAAAATAAAATATTTATTACTTTTATATTTATTACTTTAGGATTTCTGGACAAGCTTGTAATGGGGAGGAACAGATCATTATACATGGATGGGCAAGAAATGCTCCATCAATGAAATTACCAGATGGTATGTAATGAAATGAAACACTATCAATTATCTCAAAGTTTTTTAGAGAGAGAGAGAGAGTGTGTATAGGAAGAGAAATTTTATAATATTAGCTAACGAAAGATCATATCCAGATACAACTTCGATGTTTGAATAGATACACCGTGTCCTGTAGTATAAGTTGTGCTAATGCCAAGTATGACACTTTTAGGTGATACTGCTACATTGTTGCTCTATTTATTTCATCTGCAGTGGATAAAACACTCGATGATCAGTCTATCACAGGCTTTGTTAGACATATCGAGAAAGCATGTGTCTTTTTACTATATAATGTGAATTTATAAGAAATAAAATATAAATATATAACGTGAACGATAAGTTCAAAAATTAAGTTCAAATATATCAAGATTTTAATTGAATAGTTTGTCTACAAAATTGTATATTGTACAAGTTTTCTCGTTATGTCTGACCAAAACTGTGATAGACTGACTATCGAATCCTTATGCACTATAGACGAAATAAACAGACTGACTCTAACTCAGCAACAATGTAACAGTAGTACCTAAAAGTGCAATATCTGCATGAGCATATCTTGTACTACTAGACACAGTGTATATATTCAAATCATAGAGATACACATAGATATGTTTCCTTGTAAGTTAAATTTTTATTTTCGAAACCTCTGACTCATCGTACTTCATGAGTAATAGTTGTACGAAGAACTTAGCTAAATTCATTATTTTATTTAACAATGTAGAAACTTTCAACTTAGACTAGAGTCAGCACAGTTGATGTTTCTAGTCTGAGTTGAAAACTTCTACATTGTTAAATAAAATAATGAATTTAGTAACAACAGTACTTCATAAGAATTTTCGAATGTTGGTAAAAGAACTTGTTAGTTGAATGGCAAATCTTTGTTTTCTAGACGCTGGGTTTTCAGTTGGAAAGAATACACCATACAAATACATTGTTCTCAATATTCATTATTTAACCGTATTACAAAATGATAAATCTGGAAATCAATTATTAATGAGCAGAAAAAAGTGAGTTGTTTGCTGCACAAATGATTATTACAATGTTATATTTTTTTTGCTATTTCATTTAGACGAAAATATCAAGCAGGTGTTTTACTAAGTGGTACAAGTCAAATATATTTGAAACCAAAATCTCATAGTACGTTTTGATTTTATTGTCTATCTATTTATCATAGGAATCTTTGTGAAGACTTGTATGTTAAACGAATTACAGTATAAACGATTTGTTGATTTTGTAAATGGATATTTTTGATACTCTTTCATTCTTAGTATCATTTGCTTCTATAACTTATTCTTCAATTGGAAAAGTATTTAGATTATAACGATCATTCTTCGTGCAAAATTTTGTTGATAAGTTACTGCTGTCTGTGTTTGTTTTACTGAAATTCTCTGTGAACTATCTCCACAATATAACTGAGTAATTTGCAAATAGTTTCTCGTTTTTTTGTTTTAGCTGTTCGCTCACATTTTTCATGTCGATACAGCGGGCCGCCAATATCAATATTTGCTGCCCGAGTACATGCACATCAGTGGGGTACGATGTGAAAATCGTTTTGAGTATAGATCAATATTTAACTCATGCACCTCTTCTTCTACAGCTCGTGTTAACTCATTATATCGTGTTCGGTCCGGTGAAATTTCGCAAGTTGTTAAAGGTGATCCACAATGGCCTCAATCGTTTTATCAATTACCATCACCGGTGGAAATTGTTGAAGATGATTATTTAGTTGGACAATGTGTTTATGATAATGATGGAGACAGAATAATTCGTGTGGGGTTCGTAACTACATAATAAGATAGAACATTTTCTTCTTAACATTTTATCTTTTTTAGTTCAACGCATAATGATGAAATGTGTAATGTTTATGCAATGTACTCGTATGAACCAAATGCACAACAAAAACCACTTCACACATGTTGGGATAATCAGTTTGGAGCTTTAATTAGGTACTAATACAAATGTAGTTTTTCTATGAATTACATATAAGATTCTCTCTTATTTAGTTTGATTCCGACAGATGCCGACGTTCCTCCTCGTACACCATTAGAAATAAACAGTAATCATCATCATGCTGAACATACAATGGGCGATCGTTCACAAGCATCCAACGATTGGTGGTTAACATCAAATGGCGGTAATTATCGTTCTGCTGCTAACTCAAAATATAATAATAAAGCTGCTCTAACTAATAAAGATTATGAGGATTATATGCAAGAAGTAGAAACACAGCGATCGAGAGATAAACTAACACCTAAGTCTTCTTCTGGTAATCAGTTTGATAACATGATTGAATTTAACAAAATTCTAACACATTTGGGAATATCACCAGCCGAATATGAATATGATACAAATTATGATGATTTATTACCAACATCACCACATTTAAATGAAAAACAAATTGTTAAATTACATAGTGCAAATAAAATCAGTAGTAAGTAGAATTAATAGTAGTAGTAGTAGTTATTGTTATTAGTTTGCTTCTCTCCTGATATTATCACTTTCTATATTCTAAAAGAACATTAGAAAATATATCCTTTCTTCAGTCTTATATAAAATGGGTGTAAAATATTTTTGTATCAGAAACTATGCTTGCTTTCTCAACTGTATATTTATTGGTTTTTTGTGGTACTGCTTTTAATGTTGTCTGTTTTGTTTTTGTTTATTTCTAGGTTGGCACTACTAGTCTACTTGTCGCCTGTTATCACTATGCTTATTAACCATGCATGCACATTCAGCACTAAAAATAGGCACATGTTTATGTAAAAGTTACATAATAAGTGAGAAATGTGTGCTAGTTAAACTTCTTTTTTCTTATGAGCAAATCTAACCCATAAATAATATCTCACATTTTAGGCATAACGCTTTCTTTTTTTTTTTGCTATATCTATGCACTTTATTTGATGTTTTATGCAGTTAGTGAAACAAAAATATTCAGTTAAAGGAAAGCCCCCTCAGAGAAAATTCTCTACGCCATGAAAATCGATTTGCACAAAATTTTAAATGATGAAACATCGTAGTATGAAAAGGTTATGATACAAATTTTGGTCCAAAATATTGAGTTAATCAAAAGTTATAGGTGTCGCAAGATACAAAATTCAGCTGTTGAGATGCATTTTTTCTCTGGATGGGTAGCAGGTAGGGAATTCAAGCTTATTTTAAATAAAACCAAACATCTAAATCTAAAAAGTAATAGATGACTTTATTAGTTTTTGACATACATCTCAAGTTGAAAGTTCGAAAAAGTGTCTCTTCTCTCCTTAGTATTTTTATACACTTTTCTCAGTAATGAGAGCAAAAATTCGAAAAAATAGTCTGTTACTTTGTTCATTTATGTTTTAACTATTAAAACAGTTCATTAAATTATATCTGGTCATTACTGAGAAAAATGTACATTACTGCACGAGAAATATCTTTTGAAAAAAATATAATACAAGTTTGAAGTTCATATTAACTCTCTCGCATAGAACTTTCAGAAAACTCTTGGAATCTAATATTTTTTTATGAAGAGATATACAGATTTTAAAAGAGGACACTTGAGGCTAAGCATGAACCAGTTAAAAACTGGTATTAGGGCTTCAACGAAAATTGTTATAAGTCACGTATAAAGAGTTACTCAAAGTCGTGAAACTTCTCATTTTGTAGAGAAATGTTTGTTCTTAAAAACTCAACTGTGAAAAAAAATTTGAACTTATTTCTAGCAAAAGTGTGAGCATTCTAAAATGCTCTAAAGTTAGAATAAAAAAACTATTAGAACAGTTTTTTTCCTAACTTTAATACATGTTAAAATACTCATATTTGTATCAAAGATAACGTTGAATTTTTTTTTACCTATATGAAATTGTAGTCCAAACATTTCTCTACAAAGTGAGAGGTTCCATGACTCTGGACAATTCTTTATAGACGGCTTATAACAATTTTCGTAAAAGCTTTAATCTTAGTTTTTAACTGATGCACGCCTACTTCAGGCTATCTATCCAGATTACATTCTTAATTTTGATTTTCTATCAAAAATCGACTTTCTGAGGAGAGAGGTTCCTCCTTAACTGGAAATAATTCTATAGTATATGTTCATAACGTTAATGGACAAAAGTAATGCATAGCTACGGACATTATTCTAAAACTATTTTCGTTGTGAAAGTCTACGTTCAACTTCTAAATTTTTTTTGCTGATAAAAGACAATATAAAATATCTATGGTACAATTTCTAACTGAATAACAATGGTTTAATATTATACTATGTCTTCAGCGTTTTGATCAATTTATATTTCTACATCTTTTTGTTTTTTTTCTATTCAGATAATTTATACAAATGTATTGATACATGGCCTGATTCAAAATCAGTACCCCGTCTAGGTCAAATTGGAGGCATTGCATTAGGTTTTAATGACGATCTCGTTGTATTTCATCGAGGAGAACGTAAATGGGAGAGCAGGTAAGAAATTTATTATTACTCAAAAAAATATGACATCGTCTTGTTTTATTCTTTTTAGATATTTTAGTGATGAGTCTCATTTTCGTAATGATGCGTATGGACCAATTGATGAAGATGTACTTGTACATGTTGATACAAAAACAGGACGAGTCAAACAAAAATGGGGAGCAAAAATGTAAACATCTATTTAATGTAGAAAATATTGCTTATTATAATTTCTATGTTTTATATAGGTTTTATATGCCGCATGGACTCACAATTGATCATGATGGAAATTTTTGGTTAACAGATATTGCCATGCATCAAGTAAGAAAAATGTTAATAATTTAAAATCTAAAAATACTTCAATATATTGTTATCTAATACTCTTAGTTTTTTCAAACAGAATTCTCATATACCTATGCCATTTCAGGTATTTATGTATTCAGCAAATGACAAAAGTCGTCCAGCATTAATTGTTGGTGAAAAGTTTCAATCTGGATCGGGACCTACACAATTATGTCGACCAGCTGATGTAGCTGTAATGAAAAATGGAGACTTTTTTGTTGCAGATGGGTAAGTGTATCCTGTTTATTTAGTTAATTCTATTTTTGTGTATATATAACTTTTTCTTCATTATAGATATTGTAATAGTCGAATCGTTAAATTTAATAAAAAAGGCGAATATTTAACTGAATGGGGTAATGCAATGGATGGTATACGAGATGGTAAGCGTATATTAGATTAAAAAATTTTTCTTACTATTTCATTTGATTTATTTACATTCAAGTTGATGGTTTTCCACTACCAAATCAATGGAATATCGTCCATTCGTTAGCATTAAACGAAGAACAAAAGTTACTATGTGGAGCTGATAGAGAAAACTATCGTATACAATGTTTTGATTTACAAGGACAATTTCAACGACAAATTCGAGTTGAACAAAAAAATAATATTGGACCTATTTATGCTATTGAATTTGCACCAGCAACAAATGGTAAATAACTAAACAATTGTAATTTGGAAAATCCACGAATGGTGGACGTTAAGTTAAAAATATTTTTATTCCTATTGTTAGTGAGACATAGTTAGCGAGAACTCAAACAAAATACAGGCATTTCTGATTCTTTTAGTACTACAGCGACTTTGGACCTATCGTACCAGACAACCTCACGTTTGTTCAGTCATTTTTCTTACTATTAAGGTACTGTATTGTATGCCGTAACAGGTGGTCAAACTCAAACGAAAAAAGTTTATTTAATCAATCCTCGTGATGGTGAAATATTGACATCATTCGATTCGAATCCGGTATGTATTTTTATCACAGTTTTCGTTCTAATTAACATAATTTTTGTTTATTTTTTGAATAGCATTTGGTATCACCTCATGATATAGCTGTGAGCACGAATGGACGTGAAGTATATGTTGGTGAATTGACCGATGGTAAAAATGGACTCCATAAATTTGAATTAGTCAAACAAAAAGGTATATATGCATGTTTTTTCACTATGTTTATTAAATTGAAATATATTTTAGATTTAACACAATCCACCTCTCCACGTAAATCATATGTTAGTGATAAAAATTTCCGTATATCATTAATTATAATGGGATTTTTTGCTGTACCCGTACTCATCGCAGTTGTTGTCGGATTTATAATACGAACAAGAAATATGCGTATGCAATTAATTATTATTATTATTTGTTTTTTCAATTATTGTCTTAATAGTACAGTCTAATGTTTTCTCTTTCTAGGTAAACTTCATCGTTTAAATACATTCTTGAGTGATGTTAAAAATACTTCTCGTCAAGGTGGCAATAGTGTTCTGGGTGATTGGATGAATCGTCGTAAAGGTTTTGAACGGTTAGATCAATATAGTGATGGTGAAAATGAACCATTAGATCAAAATTCTGATGAACAAGAAGATGGACATGAAAATAGTAGTACACTGCCAAATGGAAATGGAACAGCAACAACAACAACAACAACAGTGTCCGATATAGCACAGCATAATACCTCATTCAATAATGTTGCATTTAAAATGGGTGGCAGTCTTTAATTATATGAGAAATATCGAAAACTTCCTGTATTTTTTGATCTTACATAAAAGACAAAAATATTTTTCTCTAAAAGTTAATAATAATAATAGTTTTCATCAAAAAATATTTATGTACACAGTGTGAAAATAGATCAGCACTTTAATTTATTTGTTTGTAACACAAAATGATTATTCTAGTCGCGCGAATTTAAGTCATCTTGATTGTTTATATTTATCCTTCTGCTATTTTCTCTAACAACGTAAATCAAAAACAAAATTTGAGCAAATTTTATTTTTTCGTTTATCAAAAGTAACAATTTTTATTCATGTATATGAAATAATGTAATAAAACTGAACGGGACTAAAATCAAAATACAAACACGTTTTACTAATCGTTGAAAATGGTAAATTGGGTAAACGGCTTGTCCAAATGTGTAACGCTGTTATGTTTTTTCCACACTATTTCTTGATTTCCGTAGCAACGGTATGTGATAGAAGGGTCGTTCTGACGTCATTTTGTGTGTCGATATCTTTCCAATTAACGATATAAAAGAAGAACAAAATCGGTTTTGACTTAGTTTCTATGAACAAAGCAAAGATCGTAACGCTGTTACGAAGCTGTTTCAGGTGATTGGGAAGTTTTTCACAAATTTTCTCAAAACGAATGATAAAAAGTTTTTTTTCCGAGCCATTTTGTAGCTTAACTAACGGACTCGTACAAAAAATTATTTTTTTTAAACTTTATTTATTTATTGATGAAACAAATAGTTATAACTAAGACAGGTCAAAAGAGAGGAAAGCCCCATTATTATCGTCCTGCCAAAAAAAAAATTATTCTCAACTCAATTCTGCAAACTCAGAATAATCATTTTACTTTCGTAACACTATTACGCAGAAATTCTTGTGCTTATCGGCTATGACTTTCTTGTCTGAGTAAACATCACAAAACTCGAATATTCACTTATTCTGTAGAGTTTGTCATAGATGGAAGGCATTTAAGTGAAAAATAAATAGTTTTCGAGTTTTTAAAAAGCTTTTCACAAAAATGCTCGTTTTTCGAGTTGTAAAAAACATAAAATACTTATAAAATTTGTTATGAGAGTCTAAGCTCCAAACAAAATGAGCCATTTTGTAGAGAATTTAATTCTCTATTGAATGGGAATTAGGAAATTAAAATTTTTTAATTTTAATTTCAAATTTTTTCAATCAAATTTTTATTTTTATAATTTAAATATGTTATATTTATAATCAGTGTGGAAAACTGCATCTAGCGATGTACTAATATCATTTCTACTATAGAAAAAAAATTTTAAAAATTTAATCAGGGAAGTGTCGCGTTACGTGGACAAGCCGTAAAACAATAGTTACAGACTGCATGAAAGATGTTGGCAACAAAACAAAAACGTTTTGATAAAACAACTCACAATCACTACTAACTAAATTTACTGTTTATTTTGAAGTTTAGCCGCTGAAAAGTTAAAAATACATTGCAATCATTTTGAAAAACTTGCTAAAATCTTAACAAGTTCACTTTCGATTTTAATTTTTGCATCTATAAAAAGGTGCATAAAATTCTAGATTAGTTGCTACTCCGCTATTTTTGAAGCAGGCCAAGAAGTCTATTCTTAGTAATCTTAGAGTCCATGATCTCTTCTATATATCCAAACCAAAAGCTCGCAGCTTCTCATGCTTTTTTCTCTGAACCCATGAAGTATTAATGTTTTATGATAAAATATGAAAAATATATGGAAACAACCAACTTTTTATCGATATTTGCATCATGAGAATGTCATTCGAGTTCAGAATAAACTAGATGTTCGAGATCTAAGTTAAAAGCGGAGTTGAATGAGATATCACTCATGAATTTTCTGTAACTTCGAAGGGAACTAGTCTCTAATAAAATGGAAAAATGAAAATTTTTTACTTTTGACTTTAAGCGGCTAATTCTAATATATGTAACAACCATCTGTCATGCAAAGAATCAGAACTCGATTTAAAAAGCTTTTTATCCTTCTGTTCTTGGAGACTCATTTGTGAATCGAAAATCGAAGTTTTAAAATGATATTCTAATGGTGAAATTGAGTGAATATCATTTCTCAAACTCAGTTCTTATAATCCGATATCGAAGATACCACGTGAACCGTTAGATCACTGAGATCAGTTGTTAAATAAATCGTTAAAAACCATGAAATATATATATGTAATCAACAACGGTGATCACAAATATAAGATTGATTTTCTATGAGGAAAAAGATTTACACTTTACTTCTTTCACTAATCGGATATGTGTATTAAGACATCGCGTTCAAACCGCCATTCGCGGATGGTGTAACTCATTATTCTTTGAAAAAGTAGGTTGCCAAACTAAGAACAAAAAGATATTTTTCAACGGTCAGAAGAGGATTCGCTCCACCAGACTGTCGGCTACACATTCACGAAAACCCTCACTCTTCATCTGTAAATGTTCAGGCGGCAGAACAGTTTTCCAAACTTACTCTCATCGTCAGACTATTTCTTATACGTAAAGTGAAAGAAATCTTTTTCCTTGTAGAAAATCTTAACTTAAACTGATTTATTACTTTTCCCCCTTCAGAAAACTATATAAGATTCGTGGGTATTTAGATTCAAAAGTGAATTCATTTCATCAAAATTTATTTTTTCAGCGTAAAAGTTTTAGAGCATAAGAACCATTAAAGATAAGCCACGACCTATTATCGTATAATGCTGCTCAATCAACCATCTTAGATTTCTTCCAACATAGGGGGCTTCTTCAGAGCAAACATTTTCATGAATTTCAGCCAAAACCAAAGGTCTTAAGATTGTTGTGTTGTGGAGATATTCAGTTTTTACGAAAAGCCCTAAAAACGAATATTCCGGCGTCTTGAAAAATTGTCAACTTAAACTACGTGTAAGTTCGTAATGACATAAGACTTTAGACTAATTAACTTTATCATAAATACTAGATAGTATCTACTACAAATTCACACAACTGCGAGCGTCAGACATGTTTTCGCTCTTTTACAGTAGATGACGCTCTGAGAGCCCAAATCGTCGATCCGTATATGTTGGAAGACGATTTTCTCCCGAAAAATGGGGCGAATTTCCCGTCCCCTATGATAATGTTGGAGTACACCACGTGTACTATCATGAGCCATGGTGAGATTTTTGAGATCTTTGAAAACCCGTGAAAAACCAACTGAGGTTTCTAGAGAACCAGATCATGAAACTTTTTAGTTGAATTTGGGATTTTCGCATCAGACATTTTATAGAGCATATCAAGTTACACATGTCAAGCTATTTTTATAACTATTCGATTACTTTTGATAGAATCAGAAACTTTTAGTTTAAGTATTGCTTTTAAGCATACATATATATATGTGCATGGTAATACTATAGTGTTTGATAAAATTAAAACTTAGTTA